CCCGAAGCGGTGCGGTGACAGACCGTGCGGTGATCTCGAAATCCCCCAAGACCTCACCGCACGGTCCGTCACCGCACGGTCTTGGGACCCCGGAGGCCCCTGTCGCCCGAGACATCCTCGGAGAACGACTCGAGTCCCAAAACCGTGCGGTGAGCCCGAATCCCCACCGACTCACCGCGCGGTGTGGTTACCACCCCGTTTGGGGGCCCCCGAATCTCGCCGAACCGAACGAGCTCTCAAGACGAAGCCGGGATGACGAGGAGAACTTCGAGTGACGATGAGTCGAGAATCTCTGAGATCCGGCGGCTCCGGAAGATGTCTCGGGCGGCCGCGGCCTTCTCGCAGCGTTCCAGAACGCTCGGAAAGCGTTCTTCTGGTCGACCCAAACGGGGGTTCAGCTGAAAGGGGGTGGTGCAATAGATTTTGGGCAAATGTATTGCAATCGCATTGCGCCGGGGAATTGTATTATTTTGTATTGCAAGTAATGTGTTGCACGCAAAAATCCAGCAATACATTTGTTGCGCCTGGGAATGTATGGCACGCCCCAAACCTATTGCAACCCCCAGATCTATTGCACGAAATCTATTGCACCACCCCCGTGTCGCTGGACCCCCTGTTGGGTCAACCCGAGTTCTGGAACACTCTGGAACGGGTTCAGCCTCGTCCTAGCTCCGCCCGGAGCTTGCGAGGGCAGGAGCACGCCACAGAAAGGGACGCCAAAGGGAGCGACGAGGGTGGCCTCCTGGACACTCCTTGTGGGTCTCGGGGCGACCTCTTGTGGGGCTGCGTGCCGTGCTCCATTCGTGGATCGCCTCGTGCGTCCCTCTTTGGGCCGCCCTGGGGGACCTCTTGAGAGGCTCGGGGGGGGGCAGTGAGGGAGGGCTCTTGGGATCTTCGGGCCGTGGTGGGTCGTTTTGGGGGCAGGCCGAGCATGTTGTTTTCTTTTCTGATTCGCATCAACGGCGAATGTGTCTGGACGATTTGGCTTGTGGGGGCCCTCTTGGATGGCTTTATGTTTTTTGGTGTCGAAGACCTTTTCGGGATCTCAGGGCAAAATTGGGGTGACGGGCTCTCGTGGCCCGCTCGCGCGCTACATTTGGATTCCCTCTCTTGGGCTTTTCTTGGAAGCCTTCTTCGGGCCTCTTGGGTTTCTCGGGCAGGCTTGGGGCGGTCTTGCGGGTCATTTGGACACTCATCAAGCCCTGCAAACGACGATCTGTTCGATCACACGGGGACGCTTTGCTTCGGACAGGACTAGCCTGATTTGGAAACCCTTAGGGGCTCTCGGGGGGGCATCTCCGGCCCGCCTTTTTGGAGTCCGTGTGCGGCTCTACTTGGGCTCTATTTGGAGCACGGGGGAGGCGAGCACGCCGAAATCATACAAACGAGCATCGGCTTGGGACGATGGCCGGCCTGTGGGTTCCTCTGGCGGGCCTCTTGGAGGCACCTGATGAACTTGTGGGAGCACCTGGCGGCGTCAGCAGAAACCTGGGGCCAGTTGGAGCCACTCTCTCGACCATCCTTGGACCGTCTGGGCAGGATGTCGCGCGCCTTGGACGAGGCCGGCGGAGGGACTTGAACCTACGCCCTGGCGGCAGAACACCCAGAACAGCACAGTGAACTTGCATGCTGAACGCTGCAGTCCTCTGCGAATGCGGGGGAACATGCGACCGACTTTACAGGAGAACGTGCGGTGCGGGCAATAGCTACATCCACATCCAGTGCGTCTTGGATTCTTGGGCTCTCTTCCCCAGAAGCCGTAGACGCACTGGACATGGATAAAAATCTGGCCCCAAGAGGCTTGATTTTATCCATATCCAATGCGCCTCGGCGTTGCGGCACCTCTTCCCAAAAAGTCCACGACGCTCTGGATATGGACATAAATACTGCCCGCATGCGGGTTACGGCAGGTTCGTGTCGTGCCGACCCCAGCGTTGGTTTTTGACGCCGCAGGGATCGTTCAACCTTGAACGATCGGCCGCTGCCGCAACGTCCGATCGTTCAGCATCGATCGATTCTGGGTCGCCGGCGGCGTTCAACCTTGAACGCCCGCGCTGGGATCGCCTCTGGTCGACACGACGCGAACCTACCGTACCATGCGGGAGACCGTACGGGTGACCACATGACAAAACGTACGGGAGATCATACGGGGGCAACCATGCGGGCGACCAAGCCGGGAGACCATACCGGGGACCATGCAGCCGGACGTGCGGGAGACCACTCGGGGCTGGCCACGGGCCTCTCGGCCCTGCCTACGAGACGTATCACGCGGCCCCTTGCAGGCAAAGCTCTTTGGGCGTAGATGGCTAAGTGAGTGCCTGTGGCTTGACAGAGTTACGAAGTCTGTCAGCGCCATTCTCACGGAATTTCAACATGGGGCTCTGCACCAACCCTGCTTTGAGACAACGCTGGGCCCTGCATTGCGACCAGCACTGGGCCGACAGTAAGTCGCCCATGCGCGCGCTCTGATTTTAGCAGTTGGGGAGCGTAGCCTGCTGCGCCGAGGAAGGACTGTGACCGAACCAAGTTGAACCCGTGGCCTTCGACGTCCACGCGTTCGTTGCTGAAAGCGGGATGAGTGGCTCGGGATGAGGACGTGCGCGTGCAACTACTAGACAGAGAGCCGCAGGCACTGAGCGGAAGGTCCCCACGTCCACTCGAGCAGTACTCAAGATGGAACATTGCGAGTCCGCCTCCGGGCCGTAGGCACTGGGCGGAAGGCCCTCACGCCCACTACACAGACACATAGAGCTCTCAATCCGCCACCGTGCCCTCTGGCGCGTCGAAGCGTGGGAAAATGCCAAGTGCTGCCTGGAAGAGTTTCCTTCTTCTAATTGCGGGCGTCCCCGTGGCGCACGGAGGGGCACGGGCACCGCACCCCCTCCCGAAACCACCGTTCCCCCGTAAAGAACTACAAGTCCGCGCTTCCGTGGCCACGCCCAAAATCATGATTCTGCGCTTCCGATGCTACTTCGAGTTTCTTACTAAGCGTCGGGGGTGGGTCAACCCCGCCGACAGCCCCACATCGACCCCCGTCGCGGGCAGCCACCGCTCGCCGAAGGCGCTCCGACCCCCGTCGCGGCGGCGCGACGACGAGGCGAGGTTGACCCCCGTCGGGGGAGTACCCCACCACGCTTATTCAGAAACCCAGAGTACGATCCCTGTTCCCGGGCCGCGATCTCTCATTACGAATACATGGATGAACCCGCGCTCCCGAGCTCCCAAGACAGCAGAGGCGGGCAACCAAGGCTGTCAAGATGGCGCAACATGCACCCAAGACGGCCCAAGATGGCCCCAACGCAGCCGTAGATGGCCATATGACGGCCCAAGACGCCTCCAAGACGGCCCAAGAGGGCCACAAAAAGAAACCCACTAGGGTCCGACGAAGCCAACATCGTAGACATCCTGGACGTCTTTTCAGACAGATGTGGGCGTCTTCACCTTTTCGGGCCTACTGCAGCTCCAGACGGTCCTAGAGGTCCCCAAGATGGCCTCACGACAGCCCAAGACAACCCCAAGAGGCCCAGGACGGCCCCAAGAAAGCCAACGACGGCCCAAAGCGGCCCAGGGGACCCCCAACACTGCCCCACAGAAGCCCAAGAAAGCACGGAAGAGCAGGCGGCAGACGACGCAGTCGAGAACAGAACCCCCGACACAACGCGAGGAGAGTGTGCCGCACGCTGCGGCTCTCCCGAGCCTCGCGACAGTGAGGTGTCACACGTTACGGCCTCCTATCCCCAATCGAGCAGCCGCCACCCGCGGTGCTGTCTGCCACCCACGGTCCAGGTTTTGAGGCTGGATTTTGGCATTCTCGGCTTCTCGTTCTCCAGAGCGTCCAAGACGCCCCAAGGCCCCCAAGATTCGCCCAAGAGGGCCCCCGAGGCCCCCAAGAGTGGAAACTCGAAGGGACCCTGGGAGTCCTCCGCCCCAAGCCTCCAAGAGGCCCCCAACAGGCCTCTCAGAGACCCCAAGAAGCCCAAGAGAGGCTCCAAGAGGGCTCCTCATCCTCCTCTTCCTCCTCCTCCTCCTCCTCCTCCTCCTCATTCTCCTCCTCCTCGTCCTTCTGTCTCTCTTCCTCCCCCGAGTGTTCCCCAAATAGTTTCCACCACGGCTGGGGTAACACACAGTCCCATAGGTTGGCCAGACTTCGGCCAAACGTTCGGCCACACAGGCGCTTCCACAAGGCAGGGGGGCAGCGGTGGTGGTTCGCCGCAGGCGCCCTCGATGCACGGCGACCACCTTGCTCGCAGGCCGTGGCCACAACACGCGACCCTCCGGTCAGCGCCCCGCAAGCCGCTCCAGGTGCGCCGCGGCGAACGCCCGCGCGAGCCGCGTGGAGATGGGCATGACCGCGAGCGCGAAGGTGCCCATGTAGGTGAGCTCGCCCACCCTGGGGCCCCACCTCTGAAGGGGCCCCAGGACACACACAAACAAATACACACAAATAAAACAAATCCCATACTGTCCTATATTTGGGGTTTTCTTGTCTCCCATATTTTTTTGGGAATCGACGATGAATTATGTCTGTGTTTTTCCCCTCCTGAACCTCGGGTCGCCCAGCAGCCAGTCCACCCGCAGCTCGTCCAGGCCCGCGGCGCGCGCCAACGCCTCAGAATCGGCGCGGACGCGGGCCCAGCTCTCGCGCAGCGCGCGCCGCAGCACCTCCAGCACCCGCGGGGGCAGCGGGGGCGCCGCGGCCTGGTGCCGGCGCAGGAAGCCTGGGCTAGAAGAAGAAATCACGGCACAGGCACAAGCTTTCGACGATCCGCGCGGAGTTCCTTGGCTCTGCTGCGCTGGGCCCCCCCCCTCCCTGGCGCGCGGAGCGCGCCGGGGGCGGCGCCGGAGGCGCCGCACAGGGGGGACCCAGGGCGGATCCAAGAAACCCGCGCGGAGCGCCAAAAGTTGATGTCTGTGGCGCTGTTTCTTCTTCGATGGGCGCGCCTGGTCCCAGACGCGCACGCCGCCCCTGCGGGTCACCCAGAGGTTGGAGCAGTGCGTGTTCAGGGTCCCGCCCACGGCCTCGCCGAAGAGCACCTGGACCTTGAGCTCCAGCGGCCGGGAGAGCAGGGCGCACGCCTCCTCCCCAGGGCCCAGGAAGGAGGCCATCGGCGCGTACAGCGGCTGGAGGAGGCAGCCGCGCGGCACGGCGTTCTGGCGAGAGGAGCGACGCAGCGGCAGAAGCAGGAGCCTTCCACGGTCCGCGCTGATTTCTTGGGTCGGCGCTGGACCCCCCTGGCGGCGCCTCCGGCGCCGCCCCTGGCGGCGCCTCCGCGCGCCAGGCAAGGAGCGCCCGGCGGCGACCGACGAACTCCGCGGGCTCCTCGGAACGCTCCTGCCTGTGCCGACTTCTCTCCCTCGGCTGGTTCCACGACTCCCTGTCCCAGGAGTCGTCCCAGGACTCCATGGCGCTGTCCGCGCTCGCCAGCACCTCGGCCTCCCCCGCGTCGAGCGGCGCGGGCCAGAGGCTCACGTGCTTCGAGTTGGAGCCGTGGCGCGGCTTCACGACGATGGGCTCGTTCCGGGCGCGGCGCTCGCGCACGGCGGCCTTCAGCGCGGCCAGCGCGGCCTCGTCGCCCGCGGCCGCGTGGGCGAGGGTGGGCATGTGCACCTCGCGGCCGCCCAGCAACGCCGCGGCGCGGCCCACCTGCTCGTGCTTGTCGTCGAGCCACACGAGGTCCGGGTCCTTCGCCCCCCCCCCCCCCCCGAGCTGTACGGCGGGGACTCTGAGAGGCCAGAGCGTCACGCCAGCGCCGCCAGAGGCTGCTGCGACCGTGGGTCAGACGATGCTCTTCCGCTCGCTTCCTTCTCTCCAGGTGTGGCTTGCTAAGTCCTGGCTTGCAGTGTTCGGCAAGCGCGTGCCACCACTCGCAAAGCCACTGCTCGCAAATGGCCCGAATCCGCCGCGGGGGATTCGCGGTCCATTACAAGGAGGCGAACATGTGTTTCTTCCCAACCATCCTGTGGTGTTGGGTCCTCGTTTTGACGAGACGGTCCCCGCGTTCCTCTTCCTCCTCTCCTGCTCCTGCTCCTGCTCCTGCTCCTGCTCCTGCTCCTGCTCCTCATGCTCCTCCTCCTCCTCCTCCTCCTTCTCCTCCTCCTCCTCCTCCTCCTCCTCCTCCTCCTCCTCCTCCTCCTCCTCCTCCGGTCACCCCCCTCACTTTAGCACACCCTTCACGCGTTTCGTGGTCCCATAAGGAGCTCCATCGAAGGCCCCAGTGGCACCCGCCGCATGCGTCAGCCACCCAGTATAGCGTTCCGTGGCCCCATAGGGGGCTCCACCGAAGGCTCCAGTTGCACCGCCAGCATGCGTCTCCCCCACCACCCAGCACAGCAATTCGTGGCCCCATAGGGAGCTCCGCCGAAGTTCCCAGAGGCACTGCCCGCATGCGTCACCCATCACCCAGTACTGCGTTTCGTGGTCCCATCGGAAACTCCACCGAATGTCCCAGTGGGACCGCCCGCGTGCGTCAGCCACCACCCAGTACAACGCTTCGTGGCCCCATAGGGAACTCCACCGAAAGTCCCAGTGGGACCGCCCGCATGCGTCAGCCACCACCCAGCCGAGCATTTCGTGGCCAATTGTTGGGCTCCACCGAAGGCGCCACTGGCACCCGCATGCGTCACCCACCACTCAGTACAGCGTTTCGTGGCCCCATAGGGTGCTCCACCGAATGCCCCAGTGGCACCGTCCGCATGCGTCAGCCAACACCCAGCACAGCGCTTCGTGGCCCCAAAGGGGGCTCCACCGAAGGTCCCAGTGGCACCGCCAGCATGCGTCCCCCCCTCCCAGTACAGCGCGTCGTGGTCCCATAAGAAGCTCCACTGAAAGTCCCAGTGGGACCGTCCGCATGCGCCAGCCACCACCCAGTATAGCGTTTCGTGGCCCCACAGGAAGCTCCACCGACGGCCCCAGTGTCACCGCCCGCATGCGTCAGTCACCACCGAGTGCAGCGGTTCGTGGTCCCATAGGGAACTCCACCGAATGTCCCAGTGGGACCGCCCGCGTGCGCCAGCCACTTTCCAGCACAGCGCTTCGTGGCCCTATAAGGGGCTCCATCGAAGGTCCCAGTGGCACCGCCCGCATGCGTCACCCACCACCCAGTACAACGCTTCGTGGCCCCATAGGGAACTCCACCGAAAGTCCCAGTGGGACCGCCCGCGTGCGTCAGCCACCACCCAGTACAACGCCCCGTGGCCCCATAGGAAAATCCACCGAAGGTCCCAGTGGGACCGCCCACATGCGTCCTCTCTACCGGGTACCGCGTTTCGTGCCCCCGTAGGGAGCTCCAGTGGTCCGCCCGCATGTGACCCCCCACTCAGCAGAGCGTTTCGTGGCCCATAGGGAGCTCCACCGAAGGTCCTAGTTGCACCGCCAGCACGCGCCCCCCCTTCCCAGCACAGCGCTTCGTGACACCACAGGGAGCTCCACCGAAGGTCCCAGTGAGACCGCCCGCATGCGTCAGCCACCACCCAGCAGAGCGCTTCGTGGCCTCATAGGGAACTCCACCGAATGTCCCAGTGGGACCGCCCGCGTGCGTCAGCCACCACCCAGTACAACGTTTCGTGGCCCCATAGGGAGCTCCACTGAAGCCCCCACTGGCACCGCCCGCATGCGTCGGCCACCACCCAGTACAGCGTTTCGTGGCCCCCTAGGGAGCTCCACAGAAAGACCCCAGTGTCACCGCCCGCATGCGTTTCTCTCTCCCAGTACAGCGTTTCGTGGCCTCATCGGGAGCTCCAGCGAGGGGCACCGCCCGCATGCGTCCCCCCCAGTACAGCGTTTCGTGCCTCATAGGGAGCCCCACCGGAGGCCCCAGTGGCACCGCCCGCATGCGTCTCCCCCACCCATTACGGCACATCCCCCGCGCGCTTCGTGGCCCCGTAGGGAGCTCCACCGAAAGCGGCACCCACAACGCGTGACTCACAAGTGCAGATGGTTGGGTCCTTCGCCAAGATAATCGCCGACGTTTTCAAGTAGGCACTTTGCGAGTCGTGGAACGCGCTCGGTGCAATGTCATGGTTTTTAGGGGGGCCCTGAGTCCTTGACCATCCAGGAGTGCTGGATGCCAGCGGCGCGCGCCAGGGGTGGCGCCAAAGAGGGGGGGGGGCGGCCTTCTGAACGTGATAGGCCTGGAGGTTGATTCCAAAACCGATATCGGCGGTGTGCCTCCACCGAGGGAAAGTGCTCCCGATCTTGGTGATGGTGGCGACATTATGGCCTCCCGGGTGGCCGAAGCAGTACCACCAACATCGACTTCAGGACCGTCTGCCCCCAGCTCGAGGGAAGGAGTTCCCGATCTCGGTGATGGTGGCAATATTCTGGCCTCCTGGGTGGCCGAAGCAGCACCACCAACATCGACTTCTATAGGACCGTCTTCCCCCAGTTCCGGCATGCCCGCGTGTTGATGTTGGTGCCCATTCCCAGGCCTCCGAGAAGGGGCGCGGAGGGCCTCGTGGGCGGACAACCCGCGACCTCTCTAAGGAGGGCCCCTGCAGGCCAGGAGGGGCCTCTGAGAAGCCACCGGCCTCTGCGGGAGCCCCCCCCCCCGCCCCCCCAGAAGGCGAGGCCGCCCCCCCAGAAGCGCCACTTCCCAGACATGCGCCGTCGTGCGTGTTGCACCGCTGGATGCCTGGAAGTGGGCACCAGCACCAGCACAAGGGGGTTGCCTCCACAGGGGGACGGGAAGAGGATCCTAGATTTCGGTGTTGGTGGTAAAATGTTGGTCCCCTTGGCATCCAGAATATCACCACAGTCACCGAGACCGGGCTACTCATCCCTCGATAGAGGCACACCGCCGATAGCTGGTGTTGGTGTCAGCCTCCAGGCCTGTCACACTGCGTGGATCCCCTGGAAGTCCAGACCCCTTCCCAAGCACCCGTTTTTAAAGGGACCCAGGGACACACACATGAATACACGCAAATAACAGGACTCCCCGTACCTCCGCATACTTTTGGGATTCTCGTCTTCCCCCCCCCCACTTCCCATCTTCCCCCATCTTGTCCTCGGAATCGACGATGGATTGTGCCTGCGTGTCTCTTCCCCTCCCAGCCCGCCCGTGCCCCGTCTCCCCACTTGGAGCTGTGCGCAGCCCGCCCAGCTTTCAGCGGAGGAGGCTCGCTCTCGCCCCGCCGACCCCCAAAAAAGTGTTTCCTCCCCTCCCGAGTGTTGCACCCCGAGTCGCTCTGGACGGCCCCGGGGCTCCGGGGTAACTCGGGCCCGGGGTAACTCGGGCTCGGATTCCCGAAAAACGAACCCGAGTTAGCCCTGACCCGAGTTACCCCTGATGATTCGGAGGGAGGGAGGAGGAGGGAGGAGGAGGAGGAGGAGGAGGAGGAGGGGAGGAGGAGGAGGAGGAGGGAGGAGGAGGAGGAGGAGGAGGAGGAGGAGGAGGAGGGGGAGGAGGTGGAGGAGGAGGAGGAAGAGTCGCTCTGGACGGCCCCGGGGGCTCCGCGAGGGCCCGCAGAGGCGGGCCGTGGCCTATACAGGGCCCGCCCGCCGCGGCCTCGTCGCTCGCGGCGCGCGGGCCTGCCTGGGCTCCCCCGGGCGCGCCGCCCGGGGATGCGCCGGTTCAGGACGCTCTTCCAGTCCCGCACGCTCGCCCTGCGCCCCGGGCCGTCGCCCTCCAGCACCCTGCGCGGCGGCGAGCGAGGGAGGGAGGGAGGGAGGGAGGGAGGGAGGGAGGGAGGGAGGGAGGGAGGGAGAGGAGGAGGAGGAGGAGGAGGAGGAGGAGGAGGAGGAGGAGGCCTTCTTCTCGGAAGGTGCGCAGGTCCCCTGGCCTTCTTAGGAGTTCTCTGAGCCTTCCCCGAAGGCAACAGAAAAAGCCTCTCAGGAGGCGCGGGGGCTTCTGAGGAGTCCCGCGGCCTTCTGAGAAGGCATCCTCCTGCTCACTTCCCCCCCCTCCTCCTCCTTCTCCTCCTCCTCCTCCTCCTCCTCCTCCTGCTCCTCCTCCTGCTCCTCCTCCTCCTCCTCTCCTCCTCCCTCCTCCTCCTCCTCCTGCTTCTCCTCCTCCTCCTCCTCCTCCTCCTCCTCCTCCTCCTCTTCCCCCCCCTCGCTCGCCGCCGACCTGCGGTAGTAGTCGACGAGGCCCTCGCTCGGCTCGCAGGCCCTGTGCAAAGGGTGGCCGAGCGCCGCCCGCACGCCCTCCAGCAGGTCCTGGTCGACGACCTCCGCCGCCTCGTCGAAGCCCAGCTCCAGCAGCACGCCTGCCTCTCGAGGAGCCAACAAGTACACATAGTTAGTTACAGCTGCTGCTCCCCAGACAACTCCTCGGGCGCGTCCCGACCGGACTTTGGAGGCGAAGCCGGCGGTGGCGACGAGGGCCTCCCAGGAGGCCAAACCGGGCGAAAGCGAGGCAGGGGTAGCGGTACGGGTACCCATCGGTCGGAAGAAGCAGGTAGAAACATGAAGTAGGAAGGCGTTGGAAGTAGATTGGGTCGCCGCCCGCCCCCTGAAGTGGAGGGAAGGGGGGATGCCGCTCGATCGTTGAAGCAGGAAGGCGCTCGTAAAGCATCTTAGACTGGAACCTGGGGTTCCCTCTCACAAAAATTAGCCTGGCGAAGGACCCAACCATATGCAGTTGTGAATACCGCAACAATAATGAGTATCATCTTCGCCTGCGCTCCCCATGGGGCCACGAACCGTGTGAGGGGCGTGCCGACATGCGTGGCGGGGCACACAACGCGAGCAGGAGAGGAGGAGGAGGAGGAGGAGGAGGAGGAGGAGGAGGAGGAGGAGGAGGAGGGACGCGGGGCGCTGCTCACAACGAGGACCCAGCACCACAGGATGGTTGGGAACAACTTTCATCGACCAGTGGGGACCTCTTCCTCCCCAGACCCCCGACGTCATGATTTTTTCATGACGCGCCCCCCAGAGGTCCAGACCCTTTCCCTATGACCGGTTTTTCGTCCTGAGTCGTTTTTTGACGCTCCCGAGGCCCGGTGAGGGCCCCCGGAGGCCGAAAATAGGAAAAACCTCCCGTCGTGATTTTTTCATGACTCGACGAGGTCTGGGTCCGCCGCCTCCTCGAAGCCCAGCTCCGGCAGCACGCCCGCCTCGCCGCCGTCCGCAGAGGAGCAGCGCACGGCACCCGCACCGAGCTGCTCCGGAGGTCCGCCGGGCGGACCCCTCGCGGATCGGGGCGCCGGGCCTCCCTCGAGATCGGAGGCCTGGAGTTCGGTCGAGCCTGTGCCCCCACAGGGGGGATTTTGGACGAGAAGTACAAAGTACCCCCCAAATGCACCAAACATATTCAAAAATGGTCAGCAGATCGTCCCTCGACTATGTTTTGACTGTTTTTGGATAGTCTAGAGGGACATGCCCGATTCAAGCCTGGAGACTGACACAAACACCAGCATCGGCGGAGTGCGTCCACCGAGGGAAGGTGCCCCCGATCTCGGCGGTGGTGGTAATATATTCGGGCGTTCTAGGCAGCCGAACGATTACCACCGCCACCAACATCCAGGACCGACACCTATCAGGGGGACGTAAGACCTGGGTACAGGGGACTCGGAAATCCCCGACGAGGTCGTCAAACAATGACGAGGCCGAGCCTGCATTCTGACGAGGCCTCCCACTGCAGACATCCCACGAACTCCTCCTCGTCAAAAAATCCGAGGCGCGGCCGCCAAAAAACGAGGGCGAACCCGAGTCCCGGCAAACCCGGGTCTTACGCTCCCCCGAAAGGGGGGGTTTGAGAATCAGATCACGTAGCTGATTTTCCCGGCGCCTCCTGGCGCCGGATGGAGCTATGTATCGAGGAATGGGCCACTCGGTGAGGCCGAAAGCAGCTGCATGCAGCAAATTTCGTAACCCCCCCTTTCCCAGTCCCCCCCCCTTTCGCCCGACCCGAAACGTCCAGGGCCGACACCCACATCCAGGATCCCTCCCGCGGAGGCAATCCCCTGGCGTCTCCAGGCAACCTTTTTGGACGCCCGAAATGGGTACCGACAGAATGGGTACTATGCCCAACAGCAAATGTTGTCCCAAACCAACAGCGGCCGCTGTTGGGCAGGCGGCCTTCTGTCTCGAATGGACACAGGCCGCGGCGGCGCGGACAGCGAGCCCTGTTCAAAATGAACCCATTCTTTCAGTACCCATTCTTTCAGTACTTATTCTTTCAGTACCCATTTCGGGCGTAGCACCCATTCTTTCAGTACCCAGGATCCGCTGTTTTGGGCATAGTACCCATTCTTTCAGTACCCATTTCGGGCGTCCAGATCCCCTGGCGTCTCCAGGCAACCTTTGTGGGCGCGCGGAAAGCGCGCCGACCCGGGAGAAATGCGGCGCCCGGCGCGCCCGCCCCGGAGGCGTCCCCGGCGCCGACCCCGAAGATATCTCCGCGCGGACCTCCGACGGGCCGTGCGGTCCCAAGCCCGGGTGGCCGTCCGTGACTGCCTACCAGACCACCCCAACCCAACCCGAAGACTCGAATTTGACCCGAATTTCGGGTTGGGGGGGGGTACGGATTCCATGTGTTTTTTCAATGTTCCCCGACCCCCCCCCCCCCACTGGAAATCGAGGATAAGTTTGGGCCTTCGGGTTGGGTTGGGGTGGTTTGGTGGGTGGCCGTCCAGAGGCCTCGCCCGCGGGAGCTCCGGGAGCTCCTGGAATTTGGACGCCCGACATGGGTACCGACAAAAATGGGTACGATGCCCAACAGCAAATGTTGTCCCAAACCAGCAGCGGCCGCTGTTGGGCAGGCGGCCTCCAGTCTCGAATGGGCACAGGCCGCGGCGGCGTGGACAGCGAGGCCTGTTCAAAATGAACGGGAACTGCTGTTGGGCATTGTACCCATTCTTTCGGTACCCATTTCGGGCGTCCAGATGGAAGAAGCCTCTGGAGAGCTCCCGGGCAGACGTGTTGGGAGACGCTTCGGAAGGGGCTGCAGCTTCAGGTGAGGCGCGGACCTCTGACAAGTCGTGCAGTCCCGAGCCTGGATAACGGAGCACCAGAAAGGCCGTCCAAGAGCCTCTCGGGGAAGTTCCTGGAAGCTCCCAGGAGGAACCTCCGAAGGAGCTTCTGGAGAGCTTCCGGGCAGACGTATTGGGAACCGATCCGTCAAAAGCCTGCCGGGACTCGCTGTAGCTTCAGGCAAGGCGCGCCGAGGTGTTTTCACGGAAACCAGAACGAGCTCCGCGGCTATCCTGCGGCGCCGGCCCCCAATTCTACAGAACCCTGCAACTCTCCAACCCTGACCTTCCAGAGAGCTGTCTTTTAGCACGGGAGGGCCAAAAACGGAAAAAAAAACCAAAGGCAACGGCCTCAAAAGCAAGACGTGTAGAATAGCTCTGGGATGGGTTCTTCAGTCGCGCGCTATTTGTCTGCCCTCCTGGAGGGTCAGGGAAGGAGCCATCCGGGAGAGCTGTGTGCCCGTGCCGCGCCGTGCTCCTCGAGGGATCCACGGGCCGCGGCGGCGCCGGCGCCGGGCCCGCCGCGGCGGCGGGGGCGGCCGCGCCCACGGCGCCGCCCGCCGCGCCGCCTGTGCGGAGGCATCCGACGAGGTGTGGCTCTGCCAGCGCGCGTTTTTTTTTTTTTTTTTTTTTTTTTTTTTTTTTTTTTTTTAAAAAAAAAAAAAAAAAGACTCGCCATCGCTCGGACGCCCATTCCGTTTGTTTTTTGTTCGGTTTCGTGCGTGGCTCCTTCGCCAGATGATCGAGGGTGCTCCTCGAGGGTCCCCACCGAGGAAAAAATGGCACACGTCCGAGCGAGGCCCGGCCCGTGCCGGCCGTCCGTTTTTCAGGAGGCCGCCTGCGCGCCCTGCCCCCTTCACCCCTGAAGGGGCCCCAGGACACACAGATAGAAATATTCCTAATTTTTTCAAATTTTTTTGGGGTTTTCGTTTTCCCCCCCCCACTTCCCACCTTTTCCCATCTTTCCAAGGGGAATCGACGATTCATCGTGTCTGTGTGTTTTTTCCCCTCCTGAACCCCAGACTTCTGAGGGGATAGAGGTGGGGTCCACTTCGTCCGGGACCTCCCGAGCGGAGTGAACCCCCACCTCCCTCCTCAGAACTCGTGGGGCGGTGGGGTTCGGGCTCGCACTGTGGCCACCGAGCTTTTGAATGATATGCCGAAGCCGCGGAACAACGCTGGGCTTGAAACAATCGCTACTCGCACGTTGGAAGATTGGCTTTGGGGCCCCAGCTCGGATCTCTGGCGGCCGATCGGGGCGACAGGGGCGACCCCCCCGAACGCGCTCGACGAGGCGCAGCTGCTGGAAGGCACCCTGGAGCGAGACATCGCACCGAGACCGGCCGAGGAACCCCGTCGGGACCGCCAGCAGTCACACCAGCGAGGATCTGCTCCCAGAGATCCAACGCATGGCTGTGGCCAGTGCGGGCCCCCCAAAAATCCTGACCCTTCCCCCAGGGCCAGCTTTGGACGGCCCTGACACACACACACACACACACACACACACACACACACACACACACACACACACACACACACACACACACACACACACACACACACACACACACACACACACACACACACACACACACACACACACACACACACACACACACACACACACACACACACACACACACACACACACACACACACACACACACACACACACACACACACACACACACACACACACACACACACACACACACACACACACACACAAATAAAAGGATCCCCCATACTTTCCAACATTGTCGGGGCTTCTGTCTTCCCCCCCACTGCCTATATTTTCCCATATCTTCGGGGGAATCGACGATGAATTGTGTCTGCGTGCGTGATTTTCTCCTCCTGAAGTGTCTGGTGCCGTCCTGGGGCCGGGCGGGGGCCCCCAGAGGCCCTCCTCCTACCCCTCCTCCTCCTCCTCCTCCTCCTCCTCCTCCTCCTCCTCCTCCTCCTCCTCCTCCTCCTCCTCACTCCTCCTCCTCCTCCTCCTCCTCCTCCCTCCTCCCTCCTCCCAAACCGCGGCATTGCCTTTTTTGGGAAACGCCTCCCGTACAGGGCTGTTTTTGATACATAAGATCTTAAAACATATTGGACTGTTTTAGTACATGGTTAGCTTGTCACTCAACTGATGCATGAAGTCCTCGTTGTTTTTTCAGTACCAAATCCCTGCATTTTAAACACATGATCCGCACGCGGGAGCATGCATTCAAAACGGCACTGTACCGGGTCGGAGCACCGCGCCGCATCGCCAGTGCAGCGGCGAGGCGCCGGCGCCGTCGGCGGCGCCTCGGCGCCGTCGGAGTGGAGAGAACCGGGCTCCACAGCGAGCCGCATCGCTGGCGCAGCGGCGGTGCGGAGCGATGCTAATCTAAAGCCAAGCTAAAGCTAAGCTGAAGCTAAGCTAAAGCTAAGCTGAAGCTAAGCTAAAGCTAAGCTGAAGCTAAGCTAAAGCTAAGCTGAAGCTAAGCCAAAGCTAAGCTAAAGCTAAGCTAAAGCTAAGCTAAATCTAAGCTAAATCTAGCTACAATAAACGATGCGATGCTAAGCTATGCTAAGCTATGCTATGCAATACTGTGCTATGTTATGCTATGCTGTGCTATGGTATGCCATGCTATGATATGCTACGCTAAGCTACATTAGGCTAAGCTAAGCTAAGCTAAGCTAAGCCGAGCTAAGCTAAGCCAAGCTAAGCTAAGACGAGATAAGCTAAGCCAAGCTAAGCTAAGACGAGATAAGCTAAGCCAAGCTAAGGGGGCGCTATGCTAAGCTATGCTAATCTATGCTATGCAATACTGTGCTATGTTATGATATGCTGGGTTATGCTATGCCATGCTATGCTATGCTACGCTAAGCTAAGCTACATTAGGCTAAGCTAAGCTAGGCTAAGCTAAGCGAAGCTAAGCTAAGGTAAGCCAAAGCTAAGCTAAGCTAAGCTAAGCCAAGCTAAGCTAAGACGAGATAAGCTAAGCCAAGCTAAAGGGGCGCGACTGGGGGAACCGCGGGGCGGGGACTGGGGGAACCGCCCGGGGCGCTGTGCACTGCCCGGCCCCTTTAAGCTAAGAGAGTAAGAACCCTCTAGGCAGAGCCTAGGTAGGGAATTAACTTTTTCGCTGTCGGGGGCGCCTGTCCCTGGGCGGCTGGAAAGTTTATACCCTTACGGTGGCACCGTGGGGGTATAAACTTTCAGGCCGCCCAGGGACAGGCGCCCCCGACAGCGAGAAAGTTTATTGTATACCGTTCTTCGCTCGCTGAAGGATGCGCGAGGAGGATGCAAGGGCCTTGGACGCCCATGCCGAGGCTCTTCGCACGGGGCTGGCCATCGAGTGTGG